ATGGAACCTATCTAATCAGGACCTTCTATGTTGTTGTTATTGTTATTGAGCGATAGTCGTTACCCCTACCACTATGCCCACCGCCGTACGAGTTGATACCTCTGGCTAAGAGCCTCGCCCCAGTTCACTAGGACCCTCCTACTCGCGCCGTACCGCCCTTTACGTTAACTCTCGCCTAGAACCTCTATCTATAGCTTAATACTATTCCCAAGGTTCTCTAGAATCCCGCCCTCTAGACGATAACGGCGTAGTACGACCTCGCGACTTAACTCTACTCTATCATCCTCGTCTAGGCTATTAAGTAGTATCTCGCCTTTTCCGAGACCTAGAGTAGTAGTATTAGAGATCCTATAGCTATAACGATAGTACGTAAGTACCTCTAGTAGTATCGCTAACTCGCTATAGCCTAACACTATTCCGGCATGTGCGGGTGACCCCTACACATACTAAATTACGCCAAGAAATAATTTGGGGTGTCATCTACACGGGGTGTCATCTACACACCCAAAATATTCTTAGTCATCTTACTTCACTCCACTCCCCAGTTAGATCGCGAATATCGCTATATCACTATAGTATCTTCGAAAGTCGTAAATATTATCTTTTCGATTTACTTAGCATACCCGAAAGCCCATCTTAGCTTAATTTAGAGTCGTTATCTCCATCGCGCGGGTCGTTCATTAACGAAAGGGTGTCGGGGACCGCTGAAAATGACCGGCCGCGGCCCGTACTATGGCTACGACCGCTCTCTGAGTACGGTGTGGTTCTGTGCATCGAGCACTAATCGTGCTTTACTCGCGGTAGTAATCTTCGAGAACACTTGAAGAGAAAGCACGCCCATTACGGCGTCCGAGCGAGAGAAATTGAGGCGTAGCTAGCGACGTAAAATATCGCCGCTAAGGTGACCTACCCGCCCGATAGTAGTCCGTTTATTCATGGGCTCCAGTTTTTTAAGGGCTAATACTGTAATATCGACTCTTATAAGGCTCGCTATGTTAGTCGGTAGAATATATAACGATACTATAGTATAGAGTATAAGGTCGATAGCCGACGCCGGCAGGAGGAGAAGTAAATGTACAAGAAAGTTATACTATAGTGTCTTTTCGCCTAAGCCCCGACTAAACGGTATTATATTATACAGAATGAGATCTCTAGTACCCTGAGGCGAGCAGTCCCTAGTGCTCTCGGCGCCTCCAGCACTCCCACAATAGCACCTAGTACAGCTCGTGGTAGCACTCTCCACCGTACTAGCTAGCCCAGCCGTAATGTAGCCTAGTCTCTAGCCACTCGTTTTAGTAGCGCCATTCAAGAGGATAAGGCTCGCTATCAACAGCTCGGCGAACCTAACTCTATTCTAGTCTGGCTGGGTGACCCGTCTACATATAAAATAGGTCTTAGTATAAGGGGTTAGGTTATCAATCTACGGGTGATACGTCTACTAACAAAAACTCTTAGTTATCCCCTATCACTTTCGCGTCTAGTTATAAGAGTGAAGAATTTCGCTATATTACCCTATACTATCAATCATCTATTGTTTTGAGGGTTGTAACTTATTTAGGATGCCCGAGGGGCCGTCCGAGCTTAATTTCGACTCCCTAGACCTAAGACGCGGGTCGGTAGTAGATGATAATGTACTAGATACCGGTGGAAGTACGTCGTAGCCCGCCCCGACACCGCTAGTTTAATAGCTACGGCCACTCTCAGAGTTCGGGGTTATTCTCTATACCGTCCACTAGATATACTATACGCTAGGCTCGAATCTAAGCGAATATCTCAAGCGGAGGCATAGTGTTAAAGGTAAGCTAGCTAAAAAGATCGCTAGCTAGGTGATAGTACAGAACGTGGCGGCCGAGGTAACTCGTCCATCGGATTATAGCTCATTTATCCACGGGCTGCAGTTCCGCGAGGGCTTCGCTTATAGCGCCGCCGAGGCGTATAGACATCTCCGAGCTAGTAAAGAGAAGCTAGAGCGACACGCTAGTGAAGCGTATAGCGTCGATACGCGGCGCTAGTAGAGAGAGCAGTATATGTATCGTAAGGTGACACTATAGTATTTCTTCGCTAAGGCCCCCGATTACTAGATTATATAGCGAGAGATACCTAGTATACCGGGGCCACTAGCTCTCGGTAGGATCGATACTAGCTTCGGCGGCCGTTACTGTATCGGTAGCGCCGGTTATGACCGTAGTTAATCCAGTCCTAACGTAGCTTAGATACTTACCGCCGGCTTAGAGAGCGCTATAAAAGAGGATGAGGCCCGCTACCGCTAGCTCAGCGAACCTAATGAACTGGGGCGAGGCTCTTAGCCAGAGGTATCAACTCGTACGGCGGTGGGCATAGTGGTAGGGGTAACGACTATCGCTCAATAACAATAACAACAACATAGAAGGTCCTGATTAGATAGGTTCCATGACTTGATAGATAACTTGATTGCTCTCTACCGTGTCTTACGGTGTGTCCTTCTCTACTTAAGGAAAAAGAAAGGAAAACTCAGACCTAATGCCCGTGTCCCCACTAACTAATGATCAAGAGTGCCTACCTGTACATTGTACAGGCTAATTCCACCAATCACGTTCCAGCTTGCCTTTCTCCCCCATTATATCCCTCCTATTGTCACTCGCTTCCTTGACGCCCTCGCTTAAGGTCTGAGTCCTAGTGATGTCACAAGCTCTCTCAGTTCTTCTTGATACCTTTCAACATCTTTGCGAGGTTATCGACCTGTCTCTCGTCCAATCCCTTCGGGCTGGGGAGCTCCGACTTCGTTGATTCATTCACTCGCTTTGTGTCTCGTCTAATCATTCGAAAGATATGGTGTGTAATGTCAAAGCGATCTTCGATGTCCACTTGAATAGCGGATAGTGCTGATTGGAGGCGTGCGGTCTCGTAAGTTTTAGCATTGAGGATTGCCTCCGCGTTTCTAATCGCCCACAGTCTATAGCTATTAGTGTCGTTTTGAAAGTTGGACACTAGAGTGATCTCTCGCGGCGGTATGCTGAAAACACGCTCTTTCAGCCATTGGATGAAGAAACCGAGCATTTCCCTCGCTCCAGTTGAGAGATAAGGCTTCGAGTTGATAACTAAGTATGACTGAGTAGTTTCGTCCGCCATAAAGAGGAGCCAATGGTATCCTCTTCCCTGTAGACTATCGTTGACGATTATAATCCGTCTTGAACAGTCGTTGACGTCTCCCCAATATCGAAAGTCAGCTAACTTTCCTTGGTTCTTGCTTTGAGTGACCCAAAAGTTGAATGCTGGACTTGAAATTACTGAGTATTTCACATTGGATTCCTTCCGGAGGGCAGTAATCGCAGCGTCGATGAAGGAACTGCTTACCTAACCATCTCGATCGGAACTCAGGACTACACTTTGGATGGTTTCACTGCTGACGCTGATGGTACGGTAGTTAGGATGTCCCGGTAAGACCTAATAATGTTCGGTTCCGAGCTTTTCTTCCTACTGTTTGATCAATTGATCGAGGCGCTTCATGGGATCTTCATGCTGGGCAGCTATACGCTCTAGCCCTTCTAGATGCTTTATGATTCCTCTTTCGGCTATATGGAGGTATGCGCTTGGATATCGTCCTGGCATAAATCTAGTAAGTAGACTTAGTGCATCGATCATCTTCTCGGCTCCGAATTCGTGGTATCGCTGAATATCTTCATCGCTGACTAGTGGCGCATCCCTTCCGTAATTGGTCTGTATAATATATCGGTTGACTATATCCTACGCGAATATTACCGGACTTCTAGGGTTTGGAATTGGATTTGGTAGGTTCTGAGGAGGGTTGCTTCCGAGTGCCTGTGGTGGAGGAATAGCGCTAGAGGGACTCGCGACGCGCATTCCCTAGTTTGCAATTTGCTGTCCGACTTCGATTCCATAGAAGAGTTCTGAGACCTTTAGCTTCTTTGCGCTTAGATTGAAGGCCGGACTCAGACCTGGCGTGGTCGTCTGTGGCCGTGCTCGCTTCGATACCCTAGAAATGTCGATTGGGTTGGCCTTCATCTGTTCTATCTATTCTCGACTCCTAAGGGCAGGACGTGATTCTCCTGGCCGCATAAGCTGTATTAGGGTCCCTTGTTTCATTTCTGTTGAATTAGACCGCATCGGAAGAGATCCTTCCTACGGACGTACAGTAACCGGAGCGAGCGGAGTTGGCGTGGTAGGCGGCTTCGGAGTAGTGCGTTGTTGAGAGTTCTGAGGGGGATCTTGAGGAGAATCCTTTTTAGATCCTTGAGAGGACTTTCGAGAGACATTCTGTGGAGGATTAGGAGGAGGATTCTGTCCGGAACCTTGACTTTGTCGGATCACCTGTGTGCTGTGGCGCCTTGTAGAGTTTGACGTTGGTCTAGCTAACCCCGTAAAGCTCGAGAGTTGAGACGGAGGTAACTTCCCGGTGCCGGAATGAGTGATCGGTCCATGAACGACTGGAGTAGATGTGTTTCTAGAAGCTTATCCTTGAATTACAAGAGGCGCAACCGGACTAGGTTTCCCTTGAGATGCGACGAGATTGGCGTAGTTCGCTGGAAGTGCTCCGGACTAATATAGATTCTCCGCCTCTGTTAAACCGTATTGATTAAGGGTCTCCTTCCAATCGGGATGGTGGTACTCTGCGCCCCGTACGGCTATGTCTGGTAAGTGGCCGTCCAGAACGATTTGGACATCCGACGCGATCAGATGTGGCGTAGTATTGAAGTGTCTCCCTTTTTGAATACGTGCGAGACGGGCAACCATCTCGTGCGAAGCTTCTTGTAGTAGGTGGAGAGGTGTTACGTTATAATAGCGAGGGTGTTTTCTGGCGAATTGGTACTGCTCTAAAAGTGTAGTCGTGTCTCCCCCGTAGGGAATGATGAGTTCATTAAAGAATTCTGGTGACGTCTAGACAGGCAGTTTCGTGAATCCTCCTTTCGGCGTAGGGACGTCTTTCTCTTTGCATTTGTGATTGAAAACTTTCATGTCGCTCGGCCGACTGTAATCCGAGAGCAACTTGTTGCGTATCTCCGCGCGGCGATCCCGTCTGGTGTTGAACGCTCTTTTTCCGCCGAGGAGTCTAGGACACTTTCGAAAGGCTTCCTTAGCATTTGGTAAGTTCTTGGTGAGGTCGTAGACACGCTGAGCTATGAAGTCACGAATATCCCCTATCTGTCGATATTTCACCTCGAGGGATCCGTAGAAGTCTCCGACTATACTCTTGTTATCCTAGTCTACTGTAGCGATTGCATCTTCAATCGAAACTTCTCGAATGTTGTCTGGGTGTTTGACGGTGAGAACTGGCTGGTTGTCGATCGTTCCCGCGTTCGGGGCTCGATACTGATTGCCTCGTCCAACCGTAGACATCGAGGTAGGATTCGGTAAGATAGTAGGAGGTTTCGGTTGAAGTGCCCGCGGATTTCTGGACATCTTGATGAAGAAGTTGAGGGCGTACCGTAGAGAAAGCCGAGAGGAAAGGTTTTAGGAGGAGAACAAGTCGAAATTGGATTGGCGTTTTAGAATCTCTTTTTAGAGAAGGTGATCGTGAGTAAAAGGGTAGCGAAAGAGACCGGAGAGATCGAGGTAATCGTAATTGTAGCGCATTAACCCGCGAGATCGAGGTAGGAAGGAAGGTAGACTGGAAGGTGCGATACGGATACTTATAGAAGCCTCTCCTGAGCGCATATGCGTTTCGGAATTTCTGCGGTCGAACTTCCGCCCCTACGTCTTAGATTCTTCACTCCTTAGCCGATCACATGTAAGTATGTGATTGACTACGATAGGTCTATTACTTCAATCCTCACTGTCGTCGTTATTCGTGCGTGACGAATCGGCCGCCGTTTGACGGTAGGGTGACTGAATTTGCTTTCTCCTCTGTCACGGCTTTCGTTTGCTCCGTGAGTCATGATTTCATAGAACGCCCACCTGTTTCCTTCGAAAACGCTGCTTTCTGCTCCTACATCGGCCTTGCCATTTGAAAGCAGTCTATAAATGCCTCTAGTTTAGTTGTCACGCCGTTTCGACTAATTAGAGCGCTTTATTTTCCCTGTACATTGTATAGGGAAATTTCGACTAATCAGAAGTCGCGCTAATTCCACTAGCGTAACCTTAATTTTTCATCTCGCCTCACTCTGCGCTTTCTCTCAGTTAACTTATCAGTTAGACGGCGATGCTTCAATCCCTCCCTCCTTCTTTTCTTTAGCTATGTCGTAGGGCTAACGGGGTCGTAGGTCCGGAAGTATCGCAGTCCACCGAAACGAAATGCAGACTTTAAGGCTGCTTTCTTGCCTACACCTCCTTTCTCTCCTACGTCCTTCTCCTAGTTAGTATCGAAGTAAATCGTAAAATCAAAACGAAAAACATAAAACGTTCAAAGAAGAAAAGAAACAATTCTTTAATGAGCGTAGAAGCTGAGAAGTTACCTCCTCTGCTACTTCGCATAGCGGAGTACCGGGGTCTTAACTTCTCAACTCTCGAAAGATTCTCCGAGAACGAATAAACTATCATACTCCCTGCGTATCTGTTCAGTAACAGGCGGGACCTTAACTACTATCTTCGAAGAAGGTCGTATATTCTTGTTTATATGAATTCGGCGGCTACGGCGTTGGCTGGGTTCAATCGGATCCGGGTCGGGGTCTGGGTCTGGGGACGCGAGGTTACCGTCCATAGGATCTTCTACTCCTTCAAGGTAAGGGGGATCGAGAAGTGTTTCCGTCTATTCCTCGTCGTCTATAGAATCTCCGGAGGATGATGCTAATTCGATCGAGAAGTCCGTTGGCCTTAAATAGAACCTTTTTAGGCGGCTCGCGGAGTAGGTTCCGCCCAGTCGAGCGCCATCGAGCTCGGCTAATGTGTACGTCCCCTTCTCTTTGTTCGCTTCTATGATTTTGAACGGCCTAAACCATCGAAAGGCTAATTTCTTCTCTGTAGATATATCCATCGATCTAGCAGTGTTATGGCTGAGAACTAGCATCCCCTCTTCAAATGGTTCGGGATGTAGGCTATAGCGTTTGTCGAAAGATTCCTTTCCGAGTCGTCTCATCCTATTTAGACGGGCCGCTGCCTCTTTAAGATCTTTACCCCGCCTTTTAAGCGCTCGAGCTCTCATCGCGATTAAATCTACGGTATCGACGACTTTACCCTAATTCATGACATTCCACGTTGTGATTTCGAGTTCAATTGGTAGAATTGGCCTATCTAAGAACTCAATTTCATACGGGGTCATTCCGGTTCCTGCTTTAACGGTCGTTCGATCCGCCCACAGAACTGCATAAAGATGGTTCATCTACGTTCCACCCCCGTCTATCCGACACATTTTTGAAAGAGCATTAGTCACCCCCTTGTGTCCTACCTCCACTTAACCATTCGCTTGAGGATAGTAGGTAGAAGTGATCACTCGCTTGATCCTATATCTCTCGGTAAGCTCTTTTACCCAGCCTTTGTTCTTAGGCCCTCCGTTATGGACTAATCTCCTGAATAGTCCATGACGGTAAATGATCTCTTTATATAGAAACTTTGCAACTGTAGCACTGTTGGCGGAAGCGATACCCCTCGATTCCACCTAACCACTTATATTGCTTCTTGCTTCGACGAGGTACCTTTTTCCTTGTGACATTGGCATCGGAGTGCAATCCACACTAATCTGTTCCTAACGTTTATCAACAGATGTAGGGAACATCTCGTTATGCAGCCTCCGACTTTCTCTGAATTGGCACTCTAGGTAGGTCCGGACAAACTCTTGGACGTTACGGTACTGACCGTCCTAGAAGTATCGGTCAGACACTCGCTGGTATGTCGCCTCACGTCTAAAGTGTCCGGAGTCGTCGTACATCGCTTCGAGGATTTTCCTTCTTTCATTTTCGTTGTCGATCACCCGGCGGCTCGGTCTATTCGCCGTCGGCTTTCTGAATAGATGACCTCCTCGAACGAAGAAATTCATCGAATTCTTCTGTAGTTGTTTGAAATCCTTGTTATTCATGCCCCGAGGGCGTTGCTGATCCTGCAGGTATTTCGCCATCTGTTTCGAACCTTCGGAATATTCATCTTCGAAAAGCTAGATCACACGCGGTTTAGGAAGGTCCATGGATCTATCCCTTGCGCGCGCTACCACCGGCCGAACTATTGCGAAATCTCGACGAGAGGTACCCCATTTGATCGGACGAAGCCGACCTCGAACTATGAGTATCCTCGCTTCAATCCAGTCGTCGATCTCTTCTTCTTCTTCAGCCTCTCTCAGATCCTCTTCCGTAGGTGGGCGACGAGATAGAGCATCCGCAACGACGTTCTTCTTGCCTGGTACATGTCGAACCTCGAAATCGAATTTCCGAATCCAAGCTAGCCATTGATTGACGACAGCGCCTAGTAAGTCCGTCGATTGTCGATTGAGCTGCGCGGCGAGAGTTATCGTATCTATTTCCACAACGAAATGCACCGTATACAGCCATCTTTTGAACTTCTTGAGTGCTTTAAGCAATGCTCGGGCCTCCCTCTTAAGGGCATCGTACTTAAGCTCGGCTTTGATCCAAATTCCGCTTTCGTACCTCGTAGGTCTGCGTTCTCCTGTTACAGAATCCACTTGCATGATTACGGCTCCCCATCCTCGTCCGCTAGCGTCTACGGCAAGGATGATCGGTCCTCTATTAGGACTATAAACTAAGCTGACTAAGGTAGGAGGTGATGTCAATGTAATCTTCAATGCTTTCATACTTTCTTCCTATGCTACTCCCTAAATCCAGGGTGTATTCTTTCGAAGTAGTAAGTATAGGGGCTTAGCAATGATCGTAAAATGGAAGATCTAGATACGATAGTATACGTAGATTCTAAGGAAACCACGAAGTTCCGGCTGGTTTGTCGGGATTAGCCAGTTTCGGATCTTATCTGTTTTCGATTCTTAAGGATGTCGGCCGTCGCGATCATAAACGTACCTAACCACCTCAATTCCGTTTATGTAAAGCTGTAGTTTTTGACCTGCAATGGTAGCGCCTGCTCTTTCGAGGTCGATTAATACTTCGTCTAAGTTTTGCAAATGTTCTAGGACGAAGTAGCGCATTCCAGGAACTACCTCCTCTTGTCTATAGTTAGTCTTAGGACCTTTAACTGCGATATCGTCTAAGAAAGGTCGCGTACGCCTTGGAATTTGCTCCTGTAAGATGCGATTCGTAATGCGGACGAACTAAGCTACGGAGTTCGTCGCTCCTTAAGGTAATGTAATATAACGAACTAATCTAATCGGCGTATGAATAGCGGTAAGATCTCGGCTTTCTTTTGCGAGCTCGATCTGATCGTATCTAGAAAGCTAGTCGAGTAGGGAAGTCATCTACATCCCTAAGAATTCTTCTGCAAAGTCGTCCGACGAAGGAGGTAAGTTTGCATCTCTTATTGTCACCGCATTGATGTTTTATACTGCAATTACTAGGCGATACTGGCCCGGCTTCTTCTTCTTGACCAGGAAGAAGGGATTTCGATAGGAACTATGGCCGAACTCGAACAAACGCGACTAGATCTTGTCCTTAACTAACTTGATCACAATTAGTTTAAGCGCTTTAGGTACCGGGAAACTCTTTGCTTGCTAGGGAGTATATAGAACGGTTCTAATCACTTGCGGAGGTGCTATATCGTGATGAACCCGCCTAATATCCTTAATCTCCTAGGCTAACGCGCCTTCTCGGTTGTATAGAATTTCCACCAGGACTTCTTTCTCGAGAGGTGTCAAGTCCGGACCGATAATCAGCTCTTCTAGGTGCTCATCCGTCAGGCGCTCTCTACGAGGAAATTTTATAAGTCTTGGGTGTATCTATTCCGAGTATCGGTATGGGTTCCCCAGCGTCGTATTCCTCTCTCTTTTAATTGCTTCTGCTCTCTAGTAGGGAGATCCTCCAGGTGTTGAGCTATCCTGTTAATCGGTGTCTACAGGTTTCACCTTATCCGCCCTCCTCTTATAGAGAGTATTCACTCTAGCTTCTAAGGGCCGCTCGGCTCGGAGTCTTTCATGTCTTTGCTCGTTCTCTAGGTCTTGCTTTAATGTTTCATCGTCGACTAATCTTGAGGACTTTATAGTTTGTCCATCGTTAAAGACATTGAAAGGTTTCGCCGCGAATTCCAGCTCCGGTAGGTCTTCGTCGCTCACTTTAAAGAGGTCTGTCGCCGATAGTAAGTTGTTATCGTCGTCGATAGCGAAGTCGAGCGCGAGAGCCCTAGGTTTGCTCCGAGCCCTTATCGATGCGAGTACGGGCTTCCTTATCCTTTTGTACCCGCCTAACCTTTTAAAGACGCTATATAAGTAAGCTTAAACATCGTTAATATGTTCTGATCTTCGTCGAGGTCCGGAGCGGTCTTTGTAACGACGTGGACTCGTGCCCCGATAAAACTATCGGTCAGTCTTACGATATAAGTATCGTCGTCTTTTTCCCACACCGATCCTTTGGCTGCCTTCTAGAATGGCCTTCCTAAAATGAAACGGTACGTAGGATCTATTGCATTCGTTACATAAACATTAGTGAGTATATTGACTCCTCTAATGCTCACGATGAAGTCTTTAATCATTCCCACGAATTTCTCTCGATCTCCATTGAATCTAACGGCATTATGGATAAACTTAGCTTTCCTCATGTATCGTGATAAGGCCATTTCCTCCACTAAGGCAAGAGTCATCAAATTGATTTCCGCTCTAGTGTCTAATAGAGAATTTTCTAGTGTTCCCCTCATTCTTACAGGTAAATAAGGACAACTACTGTAGTATAACCGTGAGTGAATAGGATCGTCTCTGGGCGGATTTGCTTGAACCGCCCCGATCGAAGTAGATATTCTACTTTCTTCGCCCTTGATGGCACGAGCGTTACCGCCTCGAGGGGCATGCGCTTGATGAATCGGTTCTTGTTTATTTTCGTTATAATGCTAGTGCCTTCGAGAGAACCACTCATCCCGAACTTCCTTCGTTGCTAGTAAGTCTCCCACCCGAATAGGCACTTCTTGGTTTAAGAGAGAGTTCACAATCTTAGCCGCGCTATTTAAGTCGTGCGAAAGAGCCTTTCTAAGAGGTCCGGGACTAGGAGGTCCGTACTGTACTTCCCTTGTGGCTCGCGATGGGAGTTGCCGACGTTGCTGAGGCGGCTCGGCTAAATCTCCCATTTCGGTATCTTCGGAATTAGGGTTACGTGATCGGTTTTCCTATACATTGTACAGGCGAATCCCTGGCCTCTGATTGGTCGAACTTTCCGGCTCCGGTGAATTATTCTCGGCGCCATCGTACACTACTTCTCCTGTCGGTCGCATCCTGCGCGTTGTATACCGTCGTTGGCTCTCTTCAGGAGGCTGGTAGGCTCTAATGCGAGGATGTTTTACCTGTCTATGCCCTCCTTACTGAGGTGCCGAACGCTTTCCTAGTGCATCGATATGGGCCGCATCCTATGGTTGATCGATCCGAATGCCTCTCATGCCGACGGCGGCGGAAACTCGAGAATCGTCTTCTAAGTCTTCTAGAGCGGCGTAATTTGGCCTTGAACCGGCTCCGCGTATCACATTCATTCTCGCCGACGGAGGTAGCACTTCGGTATCTCTCGTACTATACGGCCATCCAGACGTAACTCCGGTATTCGCGTCGATCTCCCTTGCAATCCATTCCAGTCGTTCGAGTTTTGTCTCCTTTGGAGGTATCATTAGTGCTGGAGAGGGACGCTCCGTTCCGCGAAACTTTCTAAGGGCGATTCTATAGTCCGGATTGAGATGCAACGCTCCTGCGGACTTCCAGTAGACCCACTAGGGATCTTCACGAAGTACATGTCCGGCCTGGTCATATAGGAAGTAACTCGCTCCGCTGGCGCTTAAGTTCGAACTTCGTCGAGTAGAAGGTCTAGAGTAATATTAAGGTTTATCTCCGAACCTTACTGAACGTTCTTGTATTGGAGGAGCTCGGGAAGGCTAGATAGCTTCGGGAGGCACTCCTTTCAGCGCTTCGATCAATCGGTTTATAAACTCCGGGGTAATTGCATCTCTCGTCTATACGGGTAGGGTAAGTGCTCCCATTAGTTTAGTTAATTCGTCTATAGATCGTTTATTACTCGCGGTAGGGGTCGGAGGTCGATCTACTACCGAAAGTGCCTCTTTGTCCATACGAGGGCGGCGATCAACGGATTCTCCTCGGGTCGATTCGACAGTACGTTCGTCGGTTCTCTTTGAAGGTCGAGTCTCGCGTTTATACGCTAGTTCCTGGAACTCTGCGTTATGGACTCCTTACGTGAACTTATCGGTTTCGTTATCTACGTCCTACAATTGCTTCGCCTGTTCCCAACACTTTTGGAAGTTCGAGTTCTCGGGTTTCCGATCCGATAGATCCTACTTCTTTCGAATCTTATCCGCATAGTTCTTAGGCAAGCTCGAGAGTAAGAGACGGTAGTAAGTATGATTTGTCTCAGCCCCGATCTTGATTAGGTGTATAGTAGCTTTGCGGAATTATCTGAGGTATAGATCTAAGTTTTGAGACTTCTTATGTCTATGCCTTGTAAGTGCTTGAAGGTATTGAACGCTCATCATCCGCTGTACTTCGTCCCGATCCTTGTATTCCTCCAGGACCTTTTCCTTGAACTTCGTCTAGTCTATATCGTCATATTCGGCGAGCTCCTTATAGCGATCTTTCTCGATCTTTGACATGAAACGAATGGATCTTCGAACCCGATCTTCGCCAGACGCTACGCCATTGTATTCGTATAGTTCTTCAAATTCTTCAAAAAAGGAAGTTGCGTTCCGACCGTTGAAGTATGGTAGATTGTCCTGTCTATCCGAACTCCACGGTATCTCTCTTATAGACATCACGGTGGCAGTCTGTATCGCGGAAATCGGCGAACTTGGTGTCGGTAAGTCTGGAACGCTCAAAGTCGACATCGGGGATAATCCCGGCTTTCCTTTACTATTTAATGGTCCGGAAGAAGACATCTTTCGTTCTCGTCTCGTCTTTCGTGTTTTTTTTTGTAAAATAAAGAAAACAAAGTAGTGGCTTTCCAATGCAATCTAAACGCTAATAGTAAGCAAATAGAATGTTGTTTTTGGTGTTTTTCTCAGGGGTTTTTCTGTTCTCCTTTCTTTTCTTCCTCGCAATTTCCAGTAGGTCTTCTGGCTCTACTTCCCGATGGTAGTGGCTTTACACTCCTCCTCTTCTGGTAATCTGAGCTTAGTAGCTCAGCCTTGCTATTCCGCAAGCAGTTGTTAGTGGTTTTAGTATTTGAATGCTCTTCAGCATCAGGGGTTGTCAGGGTTAAACGCCCTCCCCTCCCTCGAGGGTACATCTCTGTTGGTTCTTCAGGCAAGCAGTTCAGCAGTCGTAACGTCGTTGATATCCACCCCACATAGTGGCAGCAAACATACACAGCTAGCGTCCCTAATGGCACCCCGAGCAGCGGTTTCCTTAAACAGCTAGCGCAGCCCGCCCTGTACAGTGGGACAAACATGCTCAGCCAGTCACTTAATAGTACACTCTGCGTAGCGGTCCTACATGTATGGCCAGCTTCTCCGTTTTAGTAGGCAGTTAGTCAGTCGGTTTCGGCAAGTAGGCAAGCAATTCTTCAGTTCTGTCGGTCCTATCGTCTTCGT